CAGCATGATGTCTAGCTTTTGAGGATCTTTTGGTCTACTACACTTTGTCATGCAGGTCCTATTTAAGTGATTTCTTGATTGAGAACAGGTGTGGCAGTAATCAGGCCTGGGAGTGGCTAGAGAAATTGAACTCAGCTTTCCAAAGATGTGATAAACCATAGTTGATTTATGTTTTAACAGGGGCGGCAATCACTTTTTCACACAGGGCCATGTAGGTTTGGATTTTTTTTTTCCTTAATAATAAAAACCTTCATTTAAAAACTGCTTTTTGTGTTTACTTGTGTTATCTTTGTCTAATATTTCAATTTGTTTGATGATCTGAAACATTTCAGTGTGACAAACATGCAAAAAAATAAGAAATAAGGAAGGAGGCAAACACTTTTTCACACCACTGTATGTGCAGAATTCACATATTGTTGCTTTAAAGCTTGCTTTAATGGCAATTTGAGGTGAGCTCCCATTTGTTGTCTACTGATTCCATATCTATTCTCTCCCCTTTTACTTATTTTTAGCTTTGCCTTTTTCCTTCAAAGGCTACATTCCTTAAACTATGTAACTTTTGTTTCTAACTCCACCTCCAATGCCTCAGAAAGCATGCATTACCCATGTTAACAGCTTCACTTTCAGGTTTTGACATCCCTATGTTTTTTTTTTGAAGCCTCTCGGAAAACAAAACTGCTCCACATCAAACACATTTTCTTTATATTTAAGTTCTTGATTCCATTATTATAGTTGGCAATATGATTTTTTCTTTACCTTTGCTAATATTTTATTATTTTATTTTAATTTAATTCTTGAGTTAAGTTTTAATTTGAATTTGTTCTTAGTGATTGTACTCCCTGGGTATCTCCCTCTTAAAAATATTCTTTAGATTTTTCTCTGTTCCATTCTTATTTAAATGCTTTAGATTTTTGTAGAATCTTGCCTGAACTTGACTGGTACCCCTTATTTAGATATTACTCATCATATCAATACAGACTTTGCAACTAGAGTTGGGTCTCTAGTGTCTGTGAATGTTGAATCCTTCGTCGGTTCAACCATGTGTTTGGTGTACTGGATAGCAAGTCCAGTTGCTATTTGGTCAGTCTCTTCATTTCGTTTCCAAAGTTTATTAATTTATTTCTGTGGAGAGAACATGATTAATGTCAAGGGTTTTTGTCCAAACTTGAACAACACCAACTTGGACTTCACCTGCATTTGCTAGGAGCACTTAACACTTTATTCTTCAGCTGCAAATCTACAAAACATTCATGTCTCATTTTGTATTTTTGGTACAGGTTTCTGGGTTCTAGAGTAAGGAAAGGTTTTTGGGAATGTGATGTTGGAACACAGTGTTAAAATGAGCTGATATAGTACCAGCTTCTTTGTGCTGTTATGCTGATGAGTGCATATTCTATGAAATGCAAAATTTGCCCTTTCCTCAAGATAATGGAATCATGAGTGCATTTACTCTTTCAAGGAGGAGCTGGATATGACTGTTGGAACTCTTTTAGGATGTTCCAATCTGCAGAAGGACTATTTATGAAGTGGATATTTTATAAACATTCTACACATTTTGAGTAGTCATCTTTCCTTTTTTGTAAGACAAGAAACAGATGTTACTCTACAGCTTCTTAAATATAACAGCATTTGTAAAAAACACACTTTATAAAATCCACGTGACACACAAGTCTTGAAAACACTAACAATCATTGAGCACAACTTGGGAAGTCACTGCTGCTGTCTCCACTCTCAAGCTTTTGCCAAAGTTCAGAAAGTTTGCCAATTTTGGACAGTCAAATTCTTTTAGTTGGGCATGAATGGGGATTTAAGTACAACTTCCTATATCTATACTTTTTAAATACAAAATGAGTGACCATGATTGCTAGTGCATAAGGGACAATGTACACTTTTTTCATGTTTGGTTGAAAAAATAATGTTTACAAACACAGTACAAGAAAATAAGCTTGTTTTCATAACCACAAAAATAAACCAAGTTAATCATTTCATTTTTTCAAGTCAAAATACATGGTAATGTACAAGATACACAATTTTAAAGATGCTAGTATCCTTC